CCTCCCCCCTTCCCACTGTCAGCACGGATATTTTTCCGGGGGCCGTATTTCTTTATCGAAATACTTGGCGAATTGGATATAGGAAACGTTGCGCATGCAAAACAGCCAATAATTGGAGGTACTCTCCTCGAGCGTAGTAATTTTCCGTTAATATACAAAATTGCAGAAAGCTTTCATATTTTCATTTGCGCTCCGAAATGTTTGCGCAAATGATCGACGCTATCATTTCACCGTGCATTTTCCACCAATGGCAAATTGTTTGTTAGAGGCTTATTGTTGTTGTATAACAGTCGAGTTTATAATTATGGCAATAACATGTCGAATGCGATTACTCCGCTGTAAGTAATATCGTTCAGGTATCATTCGAAATATTCGCGGAAATGAACACAACTCACAAACCGCTTCGCAGTTTCCCCGCCCCGCGCGCGCGTTTGCGTGAGACGCAGTTCACCTCCCCCGCGTTTCTCTTTCGCTCTGTCAGACACGTGGCGAGGCAATCACACCTAATTCTCGTGAAAATTAATACCTCTCGTCGGCGAGGTTAATTTTAATCGACATTAAAAGTACATCCGGTACGCGTCGGTTTATCCAGAACGGAGTAAGCGATTGAATATTTCTCTCGTTTCTGAGAAAGCGACGATCAATAAGCGCGCTGATGTTTCGTTATTTTTACATTGTGGAGCTTGTTACTTCGCAGTGTAAAACTGTGAGTGAGAGAAGAATTATTGCCGTCTTCAATAATACGAGGAACGAAAAATTACGTAGGTACTAATAACTACAGAATAAACTACTTAACTGAAAATATCTTTTTAACATTGTTGTGACATTTACTGCGATATTTATTAATATACGATACTATTATTAATATTATTATTATTACTATTCTTATCGTATAAGCGGGATAAGGAATTGTTCAGCAATTGCTTAAGTAGCAATTGTTACATTCGTGACGAATGCACCAACTTTTAGGTGACAGACTTTTTTCAACCGCGCGCGTCAGATACAATCTGCATGCAAAACAATGCGCTGGAGTCGATTATATTCAGTACTTTAATATCCAGTACCAAGACTGTACCGTGCGGCGCACGTTGTTATACGATATTAAAGCAGTTCGCGGAGACATTATTTGGGAGGGAGAACTCGAGAGTAATTTAGGGCACGTAATTAATATCCTTGCGGTCGTACGTCTATACGTCTCGCCTACGTTGATCGCTATCCTCCCGCAGATAGGCGCGACGTAAAGGCTTCGTTCGTTATATTGTACGTTACGCGTATATATGTATGTGTATATATACATATATCGGTATAAGTCTTGATTGAACGTTTCCCCAGTTTTCGCGACGACCGAGTTTACCAGGTATCGACTTTCGGAACTATCGGTTACCCGAGCTTTTCCCTAGATTGAATATTCAAATTAGTTGTTGTGCTCAAACCGCGGGGAATATAGCGCTCTTCCGCTTAATTTCGAGCGCGTAATGCCGCCGCGTATACCGGCGCGAGATCAAAGATTCTATACGAAAAAGTGGTTACCACCCGCTCCGCGCGGGTGAGTTTCTTGCTTTGTGTTTTCCTCCTTCGATCTCGCGATGCATTTATATTTCTTCCTTGGCGGTGCCCCGCTTACATCCGCTTACATCCCCGCTTGGTGGATCCGCACAACACCGCGTGCAGTCGATAAACTCCGCGGTGAAACGTTAAGACGAGTTGAGGAACGCTTTGCATCCAATCTGAATGGATAAGCTTTGAAACGCAATTACTCGCAAATTACTCTCTTTATTCTACGAGACTCGAACAAAAAGATCCGTTGAATCTAAATTCAACGACAAACGCACTTGCGCACAGTTGATGAAAAAAGATTGTTCAGCACGATGAATGCATGTCCGAATCGAGAGAATAGTATTACGTTGCATTGGACTGTGAAACTAAGAGCATCACACATTGACACCGTGAATCAGTTAATCAGGTGATTCATCAATATTGGGAAAGTAGATGGAAGTTAGTTGTTTCCGCGACTAGAATGCAAGAAAAGCCTTGTTTTCTATCGCGCCATCGCTGGATGCATACAATGAGAAGACCATATGACGAGTGTGTTTATAGCGAGAAAGAACTGAGCTTCTCATTCGAATACCGAGAATAGATTGGAAAATGATCAAAGGATCGAGATGTTACAATAAAATAAATAGACATTTAAATAAAGGAATTCGATTGTAAAATCAAACTCTTCTGTTTAATGCTTGGCGCTTCCTAAATCTTTTGATCAATTTATGGATTATATTCGCGAATGCCTGATTATAAAAGGCTTCAGTTGCGAGAAAATCATAGGGTTTTTAACTCCTTACCGCTTTAAAAGATCGGCTGCAAAAGACATTATTTTTACATTTTGAAAGCGTTGTATTGTTACGTTTAAATATACATATATAATTTTTACCAATTATAAACATTAATTTCGCGGCAAAGAGCTAAATATTTCAATGACCTAATATGATTCGTATGGCAATTTAATCATTATAATTTATTTATATAAATATAATTTATTAAGTATAATTTGCATAATATAATTTAGTAATTATTAAGTAGAATTTATTTTTATGCATGTCTCCTATTTTATTAATGTTATTGTATACTGCTTTTTGTGTCAAACATAAATATGTCAGTTATCTTATTTTAAATGCATGGAATACTTAAGATATACATTTGAGAGAACTTAAACAGTAAGCAACTCGACCGATTAGAATCCAGAATTTTTTTTAATTTAATGTTTACTTTCTTTACAATTTTTTTGATCGATCCGTTTACTGCTTCAAGTTTTTTACGTTTCTCAGGTCTAAAAAAGCAATAAGATCGAATAAAAACGAAAGAATTTAAGCAGTAATTAAGGTAAACGTACCAGTGACTGAATATGTATATCTATATCGGAATATGTACACAAAATTATTTTTAAATACTTTTTTTCATGATATTGTAATTTAATTGTAATTTTGAAATATTTTTACAATTAAAATTTCATATTATAATAAAAAAAGCATTTGAGATTAATAAATTTTATGTACGTGTTCAGATATAGATACATATTCAGTCATTGGTACGTTTACCTTAAACAGTTAGGGAATCGACCAATAGTGATCGAGCATTTTTCAGAGTAAGTCAAATCAGATGGCAATAGAATCTGGCATATCTCTCTCTCTTCTCTATCTAGTTTATGTACAATATCTTTGCCCTTTGGCAGTCCTGCTGCCAATAACTATTGTAATTATATCGAGAGCAGCTGTGTATGTAGTATTCAAGTCTTAAAGCAACCGAAAAGCAAGTTTCGAAATTTTAACGTTCGGATTAGTTCTCGTCTGCAGTTTAAGGTGAGACAAACAGATATTTGCAGTCCTTCCGTATGATTAAAAATTACATTTGATTAGCACGTTACAAAAAATTTAGCTCGAAATGGAGATTAATAAGAAGAATGAACAGCCGCAAGACGACGACTCGCAAGCGTCCACTTCGTCGTCCATTTCGAAATTGAATGACACCAAGCTGAAGTATTACCATACCGTAAGTCCCGCAATCAACGCACTCGACGAGCTCATGCGAACGATGAACAAGATAAGCTTGATAACATTTGAGGATGACTTGTCTGATGTCGAAGAGTTGCTGACGAATTGCGTTACCTCGCCGCACGATCGTTCTCGCGGCGGTAATGAAAGTTCCTCCAGCTCTACCGTGGCTAGAAAATATTTGGGTGCATGCCTGTCGAGTCCGAAGCCGTTTGTCAACACTTATGAAAGAGATGGCGCGGAAAATCGCGCGCAATCGGAAGAGATTGATCTCTCGTTGTCCCAGGACGCTCAGAAACCTCTGTCGCCAAGAAAATTGCAAGAAATCGCCGATTTGTTTTCGGACAGCGAGCCAGAGGATCCTCCACGTCACAAGGTAAAATAAATGTCGTGATATATCACGATTGAAAAATAAAGCAGATAACGAAATAATAAATATGTATAGGATCGTATTTATGTATCCGAGGCGTACTTCTTATTGATGGCATCCAACAGGAATCGAAGGAAGACTCTGCCCGAAAGACCACGAAGCGATTCAAGAGACAGCGCATTCAGTGAATTTATGGGATCCGATGAAGAGTAACTGGAGGCTTGCCATTAATATATGCGAACAAGGAATAACGAATCGGCGAGAATCACGAATCGCAGCTGTACATGGCAAACGACATTATCTCTCATTTTTTATTTTTGTGAATTAAGTTACATTTTGAACAAGTTTTGTGTGTGTTTGATATATAATTATTAAAATAACTAAGTTTGATCGATTAGATAGTTTGTTATTAGGGTTTGATAAGAAATTGTCTGGTTTGAAGTTGAGCTTTTTATCATGTGACAAAATAATTAGAAATAATATAAATAATACAAGATAATAATACTTTGATATACTATTTCTTTTGAAAAATAATAATGTTTGAAGAGATATTTTATGATTCGTACACGGAAAGAAGGATTCTGCTGGAAGGTCTAAATAGTTGGCTGATTACAGATCTGGAAACCATCAAAATAATTTTGTTGGAGATTCAAACTGACTGCTGGAATATCAAAACATTTTACAGCAATGCTTATCATTTTTGAGCTTCCAACAAAATTATTTTCAAATCAAAATTTTTATACCTTCCAGCAAAATCGTTTTTTTTTTTTTCATGTAAATTAATATTATTTGATGTTTTGGGATTTCTTTAATATTCACGTAGTTAAAGCTTGGGAGCGTTTTAATTATCGAAATTTTATAATCAATATTTTATTAATATTTTATATATATTTTTTTTATTTATCTCATCTAAAACGCACACTCACAATCGATAAGAAAAAAATTAATAAAGTTAATGAACAATTGAAAGTCTGCTTAATATTTATCCCGTTTACACAATGTTATAATTCATGTGCATTTTTAATTTTCATTGCACGTTTGTGATTGTGTTTATGTTAGCGTCCGTTGTTTGTCCGACTAAGGTCGCGCGGAACGGCGCTTGTACGGCAACACAACGCTCGTTGTTGAGTCGACCACCGAGTCACCGAGCGATATCGACGAGACCTGAGAAGACAAAAATCTTGTAGATTATCTTTAAATCACTTTCGCAATAGAATTATCATGTACTCCGCGTGTCGTATCGCACAAATTTATATATATATATATATCAATGGCCAATATCCTTTTGCGAATATACATATATATATGAAATATATATAAAATTTGCTCGATCGATTTTCGCGTTCAGCAAGACGACCGACAAGATAGACAGTGTCGTTTTGTGTCGCGCGCGTTCGGGAGCATCGGGATATGTCGCCACCTCCTGGCACAAGCGAGCGTTTCTATCGATTGTATCGATTATGCTTGTCCAATTAGGTGGATTTCTGCGATTTCAATGTTGCACTGCGAATGGCCCGAGCGAGCTCGACTTTCAGCCCGAGGATCGCCATTTATCCTACTCGCGAAAAATCGATTTCTCTATCGACGTGATACGCGTTCTGACGAGGGCTTTCGCGACCGGCCAGTTTTCAGTATGTCCGACAAAGAGGCGGATGCTCGTACATCCGACGACATAGATGTATACGCTTCTCCTCCTGGGAGCGTGTACTTCGCCACCGAGAGCGACTCGCCGTCGAACGAGATCGCTCAGGAAGAAGAGGAGCAGTACTTCACGCCGAAATTCGAGAAGTTCCTACAGTGGAGGCAGACAAACCGTTCTCCAGACGATTCCCCGTTCATACCGGCGAATCTGGATATACGCGACGATAGCACGCCGGAAACGTCGCCGTGCGACGAGTCGTTGATCAAGCAGATAGGCATTCTCAGCTTGTCCACGTCGATGTATCCACGCGTATTTGGCTGTACACCCACGAAGGCGGATGTGACGCTGACGAACGTAGCGAGCACCCCCGAGAGGAGGGACGTGAGCGAGGATCTGTCGGCGCGAATTTCGAACAGCGAACAATCGACGAGCAGCGCGGAGATGCCGCCGGTTAACGGCCGCAACGAAAGCTCGACGGGGGACAAGACGAAGGACGGGAGAAAAGACGAGCTGACATCCGATTACTCGACCATGGAGCCGCTCGTGCTGGACGCTTCGTCGAAGGTGACGTCCGACAATTCGATCGATCAGCTTCCGCCATGTGGGGCGAGACAAAGCGACCGAGAGGACGCGATCGTCGATTCCGCAGAACAGCCGGGGACAAAGGGGCCTCGTGATCCCGTGAATGCGGAATCGACTCGCATGGCCAATCACTCGGCGACGTCGTCGTCCGGCAGGCCGAGCGTCATCGGGGACGGCGAGGTGTTCGAAGCGGACACGTTCGACGATCGATACAGCCGAAACGCCGAGCTGGTGCAGAGTTACATAGAGCAAATGATGGCGAAGGAGCAGGAGGGCGGTTGCTTCGGTAGTCATTGGCCGAGGAAGTTCATAAACATATCGGCGCTGTGCCGATCGCCCCAACGACTGAGAAGACCAAGAGAGAGGAGTCCGAGCGGCGTGAAGGTGAAAGCGAGCACGCCAGTGCGAGAAAATGCGAAAACGTCACCGGGCCAGGAAAGCCCGCGGCAGGAAAGCCCGATTTTCAAGCAGCGCTTCCCCTCGACGCACGACCAAAGAAGACATTCCCAGATATATCCAGAGTCAGAAAGAGTCAGATCAGGTAAACGCGTTTCACCTTGGCGGGAAATGGCCGATCGATGATCGTGGCGTGCCGCGTGGCAATAATAACGATTCCAACCTTGAGTGCGCCGTGTACGTTTTTGCATCGGCCCGACCGACCATCGCGAGATATTGTCCGCGGTGGTGCCCCGTTGTCGCCCACCTGTTACCCTATTCTCTCGTAAATCGTTATTATCGATTCGCGCGAAATTGAAATATCTAATTTTTATTTATTATGCGTTGTTTCAACATGTCTAACCTGACATAGATAAGGTACGATATGTTTAAGATAACCAAGAGAGAGAGAGAGAGAGAGAGAGAGAGAGAGATGAGATAAAATGATAATTTGTAGTTCGAGAAGTAATCGGTTACCTAAAGCGTGATTCAGGGTATTTCGCGATTAAAAAACTTCCTTAAGACATTTATTACGATCGCTCTTGAACTCGTTACATTTGCCACGAGATGGACGGAAAAATCCGGTTTTTTTTTCTTTCACGTCCATTATTTTCTCAGCTGCTACATCTCGTCTATCTGTGCACTTAAGTAAAGATAAATCGCGCAATGTGTATGCGCGACAGACGCGATTAATGATTTTACGTTACGTAATCGTCTTGAACGTCGTAAACGTATGGTAAACGCCTGGACGTTACGCAAGTCGTCTTGCGTAATTACTACGAAATTGAACGCGCGACGAAACGCGCACTTTTGTCGTCGCGTCTGTCGCTCGCTCGCGACACTCTTCGAGACTTTTCTTCCCCATCGCTGGTGCTTTTCCGCGACATCGCGAGAAACCGACGGCGGGCGCGCGCAAAGTGGAGCAAATGGAGCATGCAACTGGAGAGCGTATTTCACACCGTCACGCAGCGAGAAAATGAAAATGCGCGATTCTGGTCCGCTGCGTAATTCTTGGCGAACGCCAGGCCGCGATTTAAAGCGAGCACGAGAAGACTCGGAAACCGTAAATCACGGGGCACGGCCGCGCCGGGCACGGAACATGAAGGAAAAACGAGATTATGCGTCTTGGCGTTTGCACTTTGCAGCTCCTTCGTGTAACATGTACATACTCATTAATTCTTATACAAGAAGATAGAGTGAGGAGG